GCAGGCTGGTAGAGATCCTAATGAGTAATAAAATTGAGTAAACAAGTGCCCCATGTTTGATATTGCTAGTGCACAAATATATATAGCTAATAAAAAGGGAAAAAAGGTCTCATAAATAATTTACTCTAGTCCTTCCTAAAAGAATTTCAAATGCCATGGCTATTGAGGATTCCTTTTTGTTTTGTTTGTAAAATGTTAAATAATAAGTACTTTGTCTAGCAAACTCTGATATTTCTTTATTTTTTGCTATAAACATCAGTATTGTTGGTCAAATTTAATGTATTCTTGAATGTGTTTTGAAAAATAACTTTTCTGACAATGAAAGACATATTCAATTAAATGACACCCATGTAGGCCTATGGCCAAAACTAATCAATTTTTAAAATTTTTATTTGCAATTTTCTTAGGGTGATAAACTTTATTAGCTTCATATAAAAAGTTGTTTAAAAATGTCACGAAGTAATACGTTTATTTTCATTAACAAAAATTTAGAAATTTTATAACAGTTGTCTCATGTAAATTTGTAGGTAGAAACCAATTAAATGCTATTAATTATTTTTTCAGTTTATCACAGGCCTTATACAACATTGCTCTTTTGATACATTTCCATGTACTACAGTTTAGGCTTAAAAAACTAAGTATCCTAAATTATTGTTCTTGAAAATAGGGTTTCATCTGGCTTTTCATATTCTTTTACTATCACTTTCACCAACTGAATTTGATATTTTAATTCTAATTCTATTTCAGCAATTATAAATCAAAAATATTTTACCATTTTCTACAATTAGTTAGTGTAATTCACAAAGAAAAAGGTAAATGCTATAATTTTCATTTCTGCACAGTTCCAATGCAAAATATATTTTTGCCTGTCCCAAGGAAGAACTATGTTTGCTACAAAACTATCATGCATTGAGAGAATATTATCCATTTCTTGATTTTCAAGCTTTTCTCTTGTCTATTTATGCTTATTTTTGTAGAGGTCTTGCTTACCATCCTTTTATGATGTCACAGTTTCAATCATTTTCTAAGAAAAATAATCTCTGGAAACAGCTATAAAGTAAGTTTTAATATGGTTGGATAGAGCATGAATTAGACTTTTCAAGTCATATTAAAGTATTTAAACTGGTTTGTGCTGGAGTTTATGGTTTAATGGGAAGTTTTATAATCAGAGTTTCTGTAGCATTGACCAAAGGCATTCAATGGAAAATTATGAAGACTTAGGAACAAATGACAGAGCTGGACATTTTTTTATAGTTTCTTCAGAAATTATTTTCATTCATAAGTATTTGTGTGTTAAGTTATATCTGTTTGAAAGATACAGAAATTTTCTTTGATGAAAAGACATCAATTAGGTTATGACAAGTAGGCATGACAAAATATTCTGATGGTAAAATCCTTATTTACTGATTATTTTTTATGTTTATGTATTCAAACAATGTACAAAAATAAATTGGCTAAATGGCTACTTAATTACATCCAATTGCAATCATCATATGTATTATATTATAACATTATTACCATCATTAGTGATAGTAAAATGTTTTCATTATTTGATTTACACAACATCAATATGGAGATCACTGCATATTTTAAAAACAAACAAAATGATAATCAAATGGTTGTCTCAACATTAGGGACTTGCCAAGTAAGAAATGTTCATATTATTTTTAAAGAAAATTTACAATGAAAGCCTTGGCCAAAATAATTTTTTTCATGAAACGTGCAAATAGCAAGTAAAAGTTTCATATTAAACTAAGAGTATTCAAAAATGTCTTAAGAAAAATACTAGCTAAAAATAGAAAGATAAATCACTTAGAATAATCGATTAGTTAAAAGTAATTGATTAACGAATGTGACGATTAATCAATTAGCAAATCTCACTCACTAATCACCCAATTCTATTTATGTCTGTATAAAAGCTTATGAGAATCCTGCTACATAAATGAAAAGATTTAAAAAATTCAATACTATTTTGATTAACTAAATAATAGATCTCAAATGATAATAATAATAAAGTTCAAGAAATAAACATAACCATTTGCCTTGGAATATCTAAAAATTGATTCTACATTTCTTAATAGTCTCATTAACCCTCTTGCTACTGGTCAAAGTGTGCATGTCACGACTTGAGCTACATTCAAAACCTAATTAAACTACTTTATTATTATTGTATATAAAATAAACTTAGCATCAAAACATAGTTAACAAATCAACTCTTAATACTATATAAATGTTAATATATTAAATTTATAAGGAAATATTTAAAACAACCCTCAATCTCTCCTAGTATGTAAAATGGTACATTTGTTCTCTAGTTATTCTATCTTCTCTAATTTATTTACCATACTTCTCGGAAGTACAGAATTGAACATAAATTACTCATTATAATATAGACATTACTAAGGCAAAGCATAATTTTTATATCTTTCAATCTTACTATACTATGGAGCCATAAATTAGAAAATCAAAGCCACTTGCCACATCCTCTATTTCACAAATTGCCAGTAGTTCCCCATGAAGTTTTATACTATATGATCTATAACCAATAAAAAAGCCAATATTCTAATCTATCAAGTGATGTGCTATATTACATTGTTTTCTATACAGAGAATTTTCTATTTTGCTTCCACTTCAAACTTTATTCCCACTGGAAACACATCGACGAGGTTAGCTGAATTTTTATTGGCTATTATAGCATATTTAGAAAGCCAGAAAAATTATGATAGTTACAGGACATTGTCTGCTTCTTTACATGTTATTATTCTGTGTTCTTAAGTGCATTATTTAATTAAAATAAAAATTTATTTGGTGTAGTAGAACCATTAGTATAAAACAGTAGACTTATGTTTCATGGAGAATAAATAGAAAATAAAAAGATCCAGGTAAGTATTATATTTTTTTGTTTTTCATATGTATTCTTTATTTATTATTATAGAAGTAACTCAAATGTAA